TGAATTGAAGACAACTGTTTAAAAGACAGTGTCTCAGTGATGGAAAAAGCTTAGAACAGGCAAGTGGTTAACCAGTTTGTTGCATGGTGCAGAAACAATCACCTCATAATGAACACAAAACAATGGATGATTGTGGATTTCAGGAGGAACAGGAGTAAACAAAGCACGGTTTATATGCTGAGAAAGGAGGGAGAAGTCTGGAAATGTAACAACGACTACATCAAACAAAAAGAGAACAGATTCTACTTCTTGAGGTGTGTGCCAGGTGGGTGCCGAATATATAATAGGGCCATCAGATAAAGTTTGGGAACGACTACTTTAATGTCTACACCAAGATGCGGAATATCTTCTCCAAGTCTCTTGTGGAAATTTCAATCTGCTTTCCAGCCATTTGTTCGGGCAGCAGCATCAGAGTCAGTGAGTTTTAAGTCAGTTGTCAGTCAGTTGTAATTAATTTTACCTCCACAGTTTGTACAGTCTATCTAAACCTAGTCACTAAGGTATACCACTCTTGCACAAGTCACTGTGCCCTTGCCATGCGGGTTCCTCCTCTAGCTCTTGCACCAATAAACCTGCCTTTTCTGCCTCTTTTTTCTTCATCTGGCTGGTAAGAGCATTTTTTTCAAGCTGCCTGTAAAGCACGGATATTGACCACAAGAAAGTGAGACTATATTACTGAATCTAAAGACACAGCTGTCGTTGTCTTTTCCCTTTTAAACATGCTTATATTTATACTGTGACACTGCATAAAATCGTACATTAATGCAAAATCAGAGTATAAAAAAACTTAAGTGACTGATTAAATTGTTTGGCAGAACGACTACAGCTGTAGTGAGCATCTGTTATTCAAACATCAAGAAAATATCTTACAACTAATGAGCTTACCCTATAGCACTTCAAAAACTTTAAGCCCTCAAAATTCTCGCTTTCCATGGCGCCCAACGAAGTTATATTGCCTGAAAAGAGCACTGACGGTAATGAAGGGCATCATTCTTCTTGTGGTTTCATCAACAGTGCTCCCTCCAATCTCTGCCACAACAGCAACCTTAGAACAGACAAGGACATTAATTTTACTAACAGCATTACCTTCAGTCACACCTAAAAGAAAACAAGCAGAGCTACACAGTAATTAGACTTAATAATATTCATGCTATTTGACTGAGAGAGAGTTAAGTGTTTGCTGGGCATGTTCTCATTTAGACACACCCCTGTGTGTCAGTTATCTGTTTTGCAGAGAGAGCGATGCTGCTACCAAAGCAAAGTTATGAATAAATTTGCGGATACCTTCCCCGGATTGTTGAGACTGAAATCAAGTGTGTAAGTAACTTTAAAAACTGGTCTAACATTGTAGAGCAGCAATTTGGACTGGTCTCCATTTCAAGAGCTTTGCCACAGATTGACCATCAGCCCCAAACATCATCTCTGACTCCCGGTCCCGTGGATTATTCCTCACCCTCTGAGCCACATGCTGTACCATGGCACAAAATGCCAAGAGAAAAGACCAAACTCTAAGGAGAGTAGAGAACTTTTTCGTGTTATTATTGATGATGTCCTGTGTAAAGAAAATATATTATATAAGACATGCAGCCTGTACTGTGGAAGCCGGATTGCTCACAGCTGTTTTATCATTTGTCATTGTGTTACAGTTTGACCGTGCTATTTTGCTTTGTTTTTTAATGTCAATTTTATGTCTAAGATGTTACGTGACAACGTGTTATTTTGTGTTAAAGTTCTTCTCATGTCCTGCTGCATAAATGTGTTTTAACTGAACATAGCGAGGAGATACCAGTCTATCCGATCTTTAAGTCTGACGTCATTTGCTGTGTCTGGGCCCAAACTCTGCTGCAGGTCCATAAATCAAACGATCACTGCGGCATCACTGAGAGTTAAAAAAAAACTGTCTAAATTCTTTCATCTGTAATAAAATTAAGGGTCTGGCTGCTCTACCAGGTGTAACAATTAAGATTAACATCCAGGCATCTATGAAAACAGAATTACGAAATTTTACGGAGTTAGAAGTTAGCAGGTGAGTTAGTTCACTAGTTTCCATCTGAATATAATGTACCATGTTCTGACTGACAGATTTCCGAAACAAATTAAAACATACAGCTCTGCTTCTGACATAAATGAAGACAGGAAAGTAAACAGCAGTGACGTATGTAGGGTTACTGAAGTTGGGCTAGCTGGTTTATAATAATGAGCTACGTGATCGCTAGCAACACAGCTATGTTAGCATAATATAACAGTGAATCTGGAGGACAAAGGCTAACTTCTTCGACTTGATAAAAGTTAGAGTTCCCGATGGTTAGGGACAAATACAGTCGCATGGCAGGATGCTGTAAATGGACCAAACTTCAGTTATGAGAACAACTGAGATAATCCATCCACAGTATATGAGGTTAGTCATTAATATACTGCTGCATGGGCTGGACTGTAGTTACATCGTAAGGGTTTAAAAGCTGAGCTTTAAAATGAATAGCGGTAATAAAAACCGAGAGAGGCCGACAGTGATTACTCACTGTTTTTAGGGGCTTGTTGAGATTAAATAGAACAAGATACAAACCATTAAGATATGTTAAAAACACAACAGCCAATTAAATGCAAAGTAGTTGGGGCCTGGAAGCAGGGTTCATCACATCATCACTTAAAGACCGGATAGACTAATGCTTTTCTGGATGATGGCTGTTTCTCTTCACAGTTCTGTTCAAAACACGGTGACCTTTGGTCTATTTAATAAATGTTCATCCTGTTTGGCCTAAATGTTAAAGCGTCGTTTCAGTTTTTTCGCTTCCTGTGATTGAGTTTGGTATCCCTGCTTTATGGAGCTCAAACCAAGGCAAATTTTAGGTGATTACACTGTCCCTTAAATTTATTTTTCATTTCTTTACTTATTTTGTGACACAAAACACCTCAGTGTTAAGTAAAATTATGAGTAGCAGATGATTTGACCTTTGACCTCTGGGAGTGGGTCCTTTCAGGGGCCAAATATCCATGCTAGCTACTGCTAAGACTAATATCATCATCCCTGAGGCAACAAACCAAGTTCTGTTGGTGGGAGGGACGAATGTATTGATTCACATATGAACAAGGAGCCCCAAGCTCCCAAAAAGTAGGTTGAAATATTTTTTTGTCTGAAAATTTAAAATCATTGCCATAGAGAGTTAAAATAATTTAAGGATAAAATGAATTCAAATGATTTTCTGCGACTACAAAAATGACCTAAATAAGACAGAAGTACACATTCAATGTTTTTAGGTTTTTGTCTACAACAGGCATGAGTTTTTTCAATATTTGTTATGCACAAGGTTCAGCTGCCCCCATGAAGTGTCTTATTTCTATTGAGCTCCTATTTTGGATTTAGGAGACAGACACTCTTTCTACTTTTAAGATTAAGCTTAAAACTGAACTTTTTGATAGAGCATATACTAAGGGCTGAATCAGATATGTGTTTATACACCGCTCTGCATTTAATTAATAGTTATTGTTAATCTCTTCCACAGCGTGTCTTTTGTCTGGTCTTCCTCCCCTCACCCCCAACAGGTCGCAGCATATGGCCGCCCTTCCCGGAACCTGGTTCTGCCGGAGGTTTCTTCCTGTTAAAAGTGAGTTTTTCCTTCCCACTGTTGCCAAGTGCTTGCTCAAAGGGGGTAGTCTGATTGTTGAGGTTTTTTCTTTTTTATTGTAGGCTTTCTACCCTTCAATCTAAAGCGCCTTGAGGAAAATGTTGTGATTCGCCTCTGTATAAATGAAATTGAATTGAATTGAGTGGGTTCAGCAGTTTTTAATAAATAAATAAATAAATGTGACTGATATTGTAAGAAATATCCTGCATGTAACTCATGGTAAGAAGAGCAATATCGCCCCCTCCTGGTTCAACTAAACTCCCATGTTTTTGTCAGAGAGACCGAGTAGTTTATTACTGTTATATAAAATTTTCCTTCTGTGTATTTAATAAATAATTATATAGACGTCAGTAACACCTACTCATATTTATGAGCAGCATTCCACCAACTTATTACAAACGAGATCCCGTTAACTACTGCTAAGTGGTCTTGAGCAGTAGTTCCCCAGGAGAAGTTTTTTTTTCCTTTGCAATAATCCCTTCAATAAAAACACATATGCACTAACCTCATGCTTGCTGTTAACAATAGCCTAAAGACACAAAATCAAGTCAAGTTTTTTCCTGAAGTTGACATTTATTTATTTATTTATTTTATAATTATATTGATTCTATTGATTGTTTGCCAAGCACTGAGGTCTCTGCTTAGATTGTTCTACTGGGATTACTAATTTAAAAATGAGGCAAAAGCACCAAAGTTGTGCTCAAAAATGGCACAGTGAGCTACAACCTGTTGCTGTAGTAACTCTAACACGGTTATTTATTTATGCTTTTTTAAATACATACGTGTTCAGTTTTTTTTATAACTAATTATATATATTTTTTTCTTGCAAAAATGTCACCTTAACACCCAAATACGTACATACGGAATTCAAAACTTTCTTATGATTACCCGTTTGGCTGGTAACATGGACCCAGTCTGATGGAAACTTATTGAATATTGCTGCTGAACTCTCAGCCATTGACTGTATATGAGTTAAATAGAGATACAGTCTTTAATTTTTTTATTTTTTATTTTTTTGAAGGCTTCAGTCAAAGCAAATTATTGTAAAAACAAGACAAGTCAACTGTGGAAAAGTAACAAATCAGAAATCCTGTTAACAAATAATAATACAAATTGAAGAGCACTGATGAAGATAAGAGGAAGCATTTCAAGTTAGTCATTCTCTCGGTGAATACAAATCAAAATGAAATACGAGGAGATTAAAAAATACAAACATTAAAATAAATAGCTTTATTATTTCAGCGTTTAACAGTTTCTTATTATTAAGGAAGATAATTTCTTAATTTTTGTCAGTCTGTATAAAAAAATAGTAACGTAAATTGCGTAAAGGTCTGCGTGATGACGCTACCGGCGTGCTGTGCGGAGGGGGCGTGGCCGACGGCTTTGGCTGCTGCAGCCAGAAAGAAGCAGTGAAGGAAACAGTGCGGCAGTTTGAGGACGCTCTCCTGCTAACAGTTTGTGTTTCTGCTCGTTAATCGGATATTTAATCCCGCACGCAGCCGAGCCGGTAAGTAGAGTTTATTTACGGTAAACCTTAATTTAGGTGACGCCGTATTAAGATGTTTTTTGTCGGCTGTTTAGAGCTAATTTCTGCGGATTTTGTCAGTGTTTATAGTGCTGAGTGTAAGTTGGGAAACGGAAGCGTTGGTTTGGTTTCAGTGAAGAAGACAGAGTTCACAGATAAAACTTGTAACTGACGTCTAACGTCAGACGCAGAGGACATTAACTAAGACAGCACGGGGGGTATAAATGCGCTGAAGTGTTCAATGTTGTACTGACAGGACATATTAAGATGTGTAGGTGGTTTCTTGAGTGTGGCAGGCGGGTCAGAGCGCAGAAACGCTGCTGCCTCTATTACGTAACTTATTGAGGAAAACGATGCGTTTCCCTACAACCCCGTGCCTCTGTGTGTGTGACAGGAGTGTAAACATACACAGTGTCCTGCTATGACACCGCTGGGCGTGCTTACAGCAGTGATGCTGCGGCTCATGCACGCATCAACACGGCCATTTGTTCTCGCGTTACTGCGTGTGGATGCTGGCACATGTGGTCCGCGCACTTTACTGCAGTTTTTTTTCTGCTGGTTTTGAGTTTCAAGGTCAGCTGGACATCGATTTCTGAAGAGCTGATGATGCTCTAGAGGAGGAGGAGGAGGTGGTGGTGGTGGTGGTGGTCGTGGAGGGTGACCTGCCAGGAAATAAGGCCTTCAATGCGAGTGTGTATGAATGGATTTAAATTAGCTTCAATGCTGGTGCCAGATGATGAGCAAATAAGTCTTCCAGCTGGCTTTTGCATCTTTGATTTCAGGCATGTAAAGAGACCCCTAAAAGTTTAGTCTGGCTTATTAAACAGTATATATA